TTGTTCAGAGTTAAGAACATTTCAGAGTTAAGAACAACGTCCATTCGTGTGGTGTTCGTAACTCTGAGGTTCTGCTGTATATGCCACATAGTTCCAAGTGATGATGATAATAAGCAAAGTTGGCATTAAAAGTGAAAGCCTTAATTGTAAAATCACTCGTAAAATTCACTCCAGAAAATTGAGGTGTTGTGGGTGGTAACTCGTTAATTTTTGTTTGAATTCCAGTTGTTTACAGTCAAAAGCTCTGATAGATTGGAATTATCTGTACACTTTTAACAGCATGTTATTTTGCTGTTGCTTTTCACTGTGAAAACCACTTCTTGATAAGTTGTCATGATTCAGGCTCAGACTGATTTTTAATTTCCCTACTCAAAGTTAATTACTGTTACCCTTGAGCTCTCTTTACCGACTATATTAAAATATAAACAGCACAAAAATACTAAATACACATTAATATTTTAATCACATTTTCGTTCCTTCTAGTTATCTACATTCAGTACTGGTTCAAAGTGGTTTAGGATGTATACAGTAGTAGGCGTTTTTAAACTTCTGAAAAAAAATATGCTGTGCTGTTGAGGTTTTCTGCTTCTTAAATTCATGCATTTCCATTGCTGTCTGTTCTTCATTTCTCAGAATACACGTGATATTTCCAAACTTTGGAATATTTAAGTCTTTAGATACTTATAGAGTATGTGGTTTTGTTTTAAAAACTGTTAACATTTATTCGGTGCTTTTATTTTCTAAGACCATTTGCTCTTGGCTAATATGCCTGCATGATATTTTGTTAGTTGTAGCTTTACAGTTAGGACAAGAAAGAATTGCCAGTTATTGTCTGTTAGAAAAACGAAGGTAATGTAAAATGTATATAGTTTGTTTCCAATTAAATTACTACACTAGATCAAACCACTTGTTTTAAGACTTTGTTACATTGTATATAAATGAAGAAACTAGTGATAATTAAAGGAAAAATAAACTTTCTTAGGTATTTTAGGACAAAATTCTCAAGTCCAAAGCTGAGCAAACTGTACTATGTTGATAAATTTACAGCAGCTAAACTAGAAATTATTTTTCATTGGTTAGATTCATATCACATGTTGAACTGCTGTTTTTTTTTCTCCTTGGTCTTTACATAATCACTTCCTGCCCACAGTCTGAGTAGACTTAATTGCTTGCAACACCAGATTTGATCTCTAATTTACATGTAATTGTAGAACACAAACTTTGTGTCGTAAGATTATAATAAGAACAACGAGGCGTCTTTGTGGCACCTTGGAGACTAACACATTTATTTGGGCATAAGCTTTCGTGGGCTATATCCCACTTCATCAGATGTGTGAAGTGAAAAATACAGTAGGCAGGTATAAATATACAGCACATGAAAAGATGAGAGTTGCCTTTCCGAGTGGGGGGGATCAGTGCTAATGAGGCCAATTCAATCAAGGTGGATGTGGCCCATTTCCAGCAGTTGACAAGAAGGGGTGAATATCAACTGAGGGAAATTTTCCTTTTTTATAGTGACCCAGCCATTCCCAGTCTTTATTCAGGCCGAATTTGATGGTGTCAAGTTTGCAAATTAATTCCATTTCTGCAGTTTCTCATTGAAGTTTCTGTTTTGAAGGGGGGGAGGTTGTTAAAGAATGGCCACTTTTAAGTCTGTTATTGAGTGTCCAGGGAGATTGAAGTGCTCTCCTACTGGTCTTTGAATGTTACAATTCTTGATGTCTGATTTGTGTCCATTTATTCTTTTGCGTAGAGACTGTCCGGTTTGGCCAATGTACATGGCAGAGGGGCATTGCTGGCACATGATGGCATATATCACATTGGTAGATGTGCAGGTGAACGAGCCCCTTATGGTGTGGCTGATGTGATTAGGTCTTATGATTGTGTCCCTTGAATAGATATGCGGACAGAGTTGGCAACAGGGTTTGTTGCAGGGATTGGTTCCTGGGTTAGTGTTTCTGTTGTGTGGTGTGTAGTTACTGGTGAGTATTTGCTTCAGGTTCAGGGGCTGTCTAGT